ACTTCTCATTGACTAAAGCTATCACATATTCCATCCAACCACAAGGAAGACTAGGAAATAGAGTTGCTTCACATGTATTCAAGAAGAGGAAATGGGCTAGCGAGGCATCTGCCCAGTCTCTGCTACAACATGTTTTTAGCATAGTACCTGATACACCATAAGAGCTCAATAAATACAAGATACTATTGTAATTACTTTCTATCATTTGTTTCAACTACTACTGTGAATATCAGAAATCACAGAACCTTAGGGTAGACTTGTCACAACACAGAAAATGAATAACTGAACACAAGCCAAATCAAACATGTAGAATATTTTTCATTTTTTAAGATATGGCAATCATATACCTAGCATGTTTCCTATTCTGACTATTCCTCACTCCATGGGGATAATGAGCCAACATATATTGGCATCAGAGGGTGATCAATCCTCCAGCTGCCTAGAAAGGGGGATGGCAGGGGCTAAAGAAAAAAAGACAACAGAGACTTGCAGAACTTCAAAGTATATGGGGGGCTGAGAGGTTGGTGCCTCAGAGTGGGCAGAGACAAAGGCTCTCCCAGCTAGCTACTATTTATTGGGTACACACAAAATTGGAGGGAGCATCAGGTGACTCAGGAGGCTGCAATAATCCTATGTAGATACAGATCTTATGCTGATGAGGTTGTTAGGTCATGAGGATCTTATGTTGATGAGGGCTGTAAGGAGAGCATCCTCACAATAGTAGGTGGGATGAGTTAATCTAATTAGAAATTTGTCCCTCCTCAGACGAAATCTTTCTCTTTTTGTATTACTACTTGGTTATCAAAGAACAAGGATGTCTTTAGCTGATATAATCTTGCCCTTGAGCACCACAGCATCACTGGACCCTTGAAGCCTCAACTTGTGACTGGAGGCAAAATAGAGTTCTGTTTCCACATGCTTTAGCCAGCTCACAGGCCTTGGGCTTTAGACATTGGGCTTTAGACAGCTATAGTCATACTTTAATTATGAAATGATTTTTCCCCAAAATTTATGTAGAATGGCTCTCAAACATAAGAGACCTAGAATAGCAAAAGCAATTCTGAGTAACAATAGTAAAGCAGGAGGCATCACAATCCCAAATTTGAAGTTTTATTACAAAATTACAGGGGTAAGAACAACATGGTACTGGCACAAAAACAGGCAAGTGGATCAGTAGCACAGAATAGAGGAAGCACAAACAATCCAAGACACATTCAGCTATTTGATCTTTGACAAAGGGGCCAAAAACATACACTGGAGGCAGGCTCCTCCCAGTCCCTTTGTACCTTGAATATTATCTCTATCTTCTTTTATTTCCTCTGTCCCCCCTGCAGGTATCCCAAGGTCTGATCAGCCTCCAGCAAGAAATAATATCAAGAATCAACAAATGGAATCATATCAAATTAAAAACCTTCTGTACTGTAGCAGACATCCCTGGCCAGCACTAGCGGGCTATGAGTGGCACATGCTTCTTGCTTTCCTTAATTCAGCTATGTTGTTTTATATCAGGAGTCAAACTGAAGCCCTACGTGACTCAAATGGGCATGTCTGATGGCGGACTGGGGGAGTATAGCCCCTCCCCCAGTGGCTACCACAGAAACCCAGGCCCTGGTCTGTGAAGTGACAGGGCTCTGCTGAGTTATGTGCAGCTGAGGTCAGTGTGACTCCAATTAAAATCCTTTTCCCTGAATTATGGCTTCTCACTGACCCAATGGGTTGCTTGCTAATTGCACCCTGTCCCAGTACCTGTTTGTTCTATCCAAGCAAGATAAGCAATGCTTCCTCCCTTACAGCCCTCCCTAGCACCATCATGCCAGGTGTTCAGCAGTATTTCACTAGATGCCTTCAAAGCATACCCTGCTCCCTATTCCTTCCCATGGCTGTATTAAATAAATATGGATACACTTGGAGGCCTTTGTCTTTGTTGCCTACAGCAGCAATGATCAGGTCCCAAGACCCAGCTTTTTCTCTAAATCCAGTTTCCTGTCTTTATTCTTTAATTAGCCTTGTGCTATTGTGGCTCAGAGGAGACCAGGACCCACTTCAAGGGTTCTCGTAATGTTCCCTTTCCTGTTCCCTATACTGTACAGAAAACGAAACAACCACCAGAGTGAAGAGACAACTTACAGAATGGGAAACATTTTGCCAGCTATTCCTCAGACAGAGGACTGACATGTAGATTCGCAGTGATGGTGAACCTTTTAGAGCTTTCATTGATACAAACAGCCTGGTGCAGCATGTGTACCATAGGTTTGCCACCACTGACTTAGAATATATAAAGAACTCAAAACAATTAACCCCCAAAATAAAAGATCCAATCAAAAAATGGGCAGCCAAAATTAATAGACACTTCTCAGAAGTACAGGTGGTCAATAAATACATGAAAAATGTTCAACTTTGCTGACCACTGAAGAAATGCAAATTAAAACAACACTGAGTAGCTATCTTACTTCAGAAAGAATGACTATCATCAAGAAATTAATAACTAATGCTCATGAGGCTGAGGGGGAAAAGGAATCATTCTACATTGCTGGTGGGTATGCAAACTAGTCCAACCACTATGGAGATTCCTCAAAAACCTAAAAATAGGAATTCCATTTGACCCAGCTTGCTATTCCCCTTCTAGGTATCTTCCTGAAAGAGTTAAAGACATCCTATGACAGTGACACATGCATACCCATGTTTATAGCAACACAATTTACATTAGCTAAATCTTGCAAAGAATTTATATGCTCATCAACAGATGAAAAAAGAAAATGTAGTATTTATACAAAATGGAGTACTACTCTGCCATCAACTTGAGGCATTTGAAGGAAAATGGATGCACCTCAAGAATAATAATAACTGAAATAAATCAAAAGCACAAGCTTAAATACCTCATGGCTTTTCTTATATGAGAAAATAAAACAAAAATAAAGAGCAAAATAAAAGATAGTATAGGAGAAGTGTAGGGGAAAGGACAGAAGGGAATGGAATTAATATGAGAAAATGAAAAAAGGAAACAAAGTCTTTGTAAATAGGGAGGGATGGAGGGGTTGAAGGGAGGGCAGGGGAAAGGGAAAAAAAATAAGAACCAAGAGAGTATGTAAAGGTGCATATCTCCAATGATGAATGTCATTATATTGTACACCTAAAATGTACCAATAAAAGGATATACAGAAAAAAAGATAGTGTAGGAAGTAGGGAGATCTTTGTCAAATGGGAAAGGGAGTAAGGGATGGAGGGAGGGGGAGGAGGGAAGGGAAAAGGATGAAAAAGAATTGAAGAAAAAAATGGAAACAGATGTTTTGCCAAAGGGAAGGGGAACAAGAGTTGGAGGGAGGGGGAGGGGAATGAGATTAAAAACAAGAATTAAGATGTGTTATGTACGGGAACGAACTCCTCCAAGATAAATTTAACATTATGTACTGCAAACATGTACTAATAAAGATAATAGTGTTTAAAAAAGGGACATGGTTTTGATCACTATTTATGGACAGCATCAGAGTTAGCACAATGTCAGGCTCATAACAAGATGAGGAAGAAATCTCATAGTGTCCTCCTTTAAAAGGTTAGCAGGAACTAAGAAATCGTTTCAGAAGGCAGCCACACCTCTTGCATCATGCCTGGGTACTCCTGAGCAATCTTCCATCTACATTTCTCAGCTGAACTATAGACAGTGCAAAAAAAAATCCTCACACTTTAAAAAACCTGGAACTCTCCATCCCAACTGATTGAGGGTGTGGTAACCAGAGCTGCCTCCTGAGGGGGGCTTTGACTCATCACATGTCCTGGACGACCTGCAGTACCACCCTCCACTGCACATCTAGCTGGGGCATCCTAGCCTTCAACTATCACCCAGAGAGAGCTCTATCTGGTCTCAGTGTACACCCTCAGGCACAGATGGGACCCCACCCCCAGCCAGCTTGATTCACTCTCAGTCCAGGTAGCTGGGCACAGACTTGCACTCTGAACAGGGCTCACAACTCCACAAGCCGTGGCAAAAATGCCTCACTAACTCCTACACCAGGCAGACAGTGCTCATTCACACACCCAAGCTGGGGACCCTTTCTCAAAAGCTGCAGGAGATAAGACCTTCAGTGGGGTCACTGGGTACTCCTGGGGAAACCTCTCAGGGGCAGGGAGAGCCTAGTGACCCCAGCTCTGCTTGGAAATGCCAGGTGCCCTTTGGTCTCTCCGTCCTCTGAAAGCAAAGGCAGGACTCCCAGTCCAGCTCATATATGCACCTGGCAAACAGATCCACAGGCATTTGCTCAACATACTTGAATCCAAATCCAGGCAGACACATTACTACAAATCTCATGTGAGTGGAAGCACATGGGTGAACATTCCCACTTGTATCCACACACATGGTTGGCAGCACATGTCACTCTCTAATAAAAAGTGAGAGGAGGACATAGTTTGTCTCCGATATCCATACATCTTTGGTGCACCTGGACGGAAGTCTCGGCTGGGCCAAGTGGGACAGAAGGGAAGCAGAAGTGTTAGTGACTGAAACTGCGCTTCAGTGTTACCAGCGCCTCCAGCAGTACGGTCACCAGCTCTAACCGTGAGATTTCAGGCAAGGTAAAGGAAGTACAAGGGGCTGGGAGATGCGGTGGGCATCCCTCCAAAAAATATTAAGTCAGGTAGGGGGCAGCTTGCTTTACCAAAGTCTAGTTGAGAGCCACGCACGGAGGTCACCAAGACTCACACTCGTGTCCTCGCACACCTGGCCTCTGGCAGACTCCTTCCCCGACTCACAGCGGCTCGGTCTCAGCTCTACTCCCCAGCCCGCTGATCGGGTAAATCAACTCACCCTCCACCCACCTTCCTCATCCAGCGGTAGACACACACACACACACACACACACACACACACACACACACACACACACACACACACACGCACCAGGTCAAGCTACCCAGACCAGTTTGACCCAATGGGAGTCAAGAGGGAGGACAGAGCTGGCCGCAGCCCCGTGAGGGTCTCGGGACGGTCCTGAGCCACAGAACCGGCCCTAGGGACACAGGATCCCGGAAGCCGGGACTTCGGGGAGAGGCGTCCACAGGGCCCGCCCCATGACGTCAGCCCTGGGCGGGAGCGCCCTGAGAGGCGAGGGCCTCAGTCTTAACCCTGCGGAGCTGCGGCGGGAGGTGAGCAGCTGGCTCCAGACGATGCGGTGTGCCCAGGATGCTGCCGCACCTGCTAGTGCCTCTGGCGGCGCTCCTCAGCCTGCGCCTCGGCCCCGGCACGCACGGTAAGCTCCGCGACCGCCCCGCTGGCCGTGTGGGTGACCAGACCTGAGTCCGACCCATCCTGTTCCTCCTTGAAAGTTCTCCGAACCTGTGACTTCCCTTGTTCCGGGCCAGCGCTCCTTCACACTGGCAAGACTGGGTTGCAGGCTCACCTGTTGTGGAAGTAGAAGAGGCTGAAATTAACAGGGGTCGGGAGGTGGACAGAGATGTGTGTGCACAGCCAATGGTCCCCACCCCCATTCCCCTTCCGAAAAAATTCATCATCCACCCGCCTCTCGACAAACGATATATTTTGCCTCTCTGATTCCGATGATGGGACTGCTTGCACCCCCTGGAGAATGAGTTTATCTTAGCCTTCTCATACCACTTCATCCCTGCCCTCTGACCACCCCCCGCTGATCATCCCTGAAAGTTCAGCCCCCAGCTCACCCCCATTGTCACCCACCTCCCTTCACCCTGACCCCTACCCCTTAGTTTAGGTTAAGTTCCTGGTGCTGAGAACCCAAGGAGAGTGAAGGAAAGGGTCCGAAATTGGAGAGGTCAAGAGAGAGGTTGAGTGAGCAGAGACCGAAGAAAAACTATCGTGACACAAGAATGCAAAGGAAAATATGCAGTCATTCATGTGATCAAGAGCAGAAATGGGGATGTGCCCAAGCACTGCAAAGACTGGCTGCATTTTTCACTTTCCATCTGATGTTTTGTAATCGAAATAGACTTAAGTTCGATGTGGTAACATTTGCTGCCTATAGTTCCAGCTACTCTCAGGAGGCTAGGGCAGGAGAATCACACGTTCAAGACTAGCCTGGGAAACCTAAAAGACCCTGTCAGAAAGAAAAGACAGGGAAGGGGTGCTGGGAGGGGAAAAGAAGGAGGAAAAGAAGAAGAAGAGAGGCAGAGGAGAGAAGGGAGGAGAAGGAGAGGAAGGAGAAAGAGAGAAGAGAGGGAAAGATAGACTGGAGGCTCAAACACAGTTTATTTTTAAAAAGCAAGGGAAGGGGCAGATGTGTACCCTGTGAGAGTGTCAGAAGCATGATTTGAGAGCTGACAAGAAGTTAGAGAACAGGGAACTTGGGACCAGAGTTGCTTTCAAATGGAGGCAACTTAAGGAATCGAGGAGGGAAAGAACTGGGCAGGGTGGTTCATACCTGTAACCTCAACTACTGGGAAGGCTGAGGCAGCAGGATTGAGAGTTTGAGGCCAGCCTGGGCACCTTAAGATGCTGCCTCAAAACTTAATAACAAAAAGAGTTTGAGATATAGCTCAGTGGTAGAGCACCCCTAGATCCAACCCTCAGTACTGCAAGGGGGAAAAGGGAGGAGAGACAGGGAACTCATTCACGTTGATCCTTGCATATATTTTAGCTGCCTAATCAGCAAGATTTGGGGGGGGGGTGGATGCTGGGGATCGAACTCGGGACCTTGCACTTACGAGGCAGGTGGTGGCACCACTGAGCTAAATCCCCAGCCCTGCAAGATTCTTAAAGTATGTGTGTTGATTGCATTCTTGCAAAAAAGAGGATGGGTCCAGCGAGGTTAAATCATCTGCCCAGCATCACACTGACAAATACTAGTTTGAGGCTCCTGGAGTTAGTGTTTCTCATGGTGAATGGTGTGTGTTGAGGGATAAGGGGGGATAAGGGGATAGCAGGGTGGAGACAGATTAGTTTTTAGTATCCCCCCTTAGAGCCCATGGTGCTAGCTCTGCCTGGAGATGTTCTCAGTGTAGTATAACCAGGACTAATTCATTCTGACTGTCTTGTCCCAGACTGAGGTGGGTTTCTGGCTATAGGTAAAGCCTTTCTAGAAGCCAAGGAATGGAGGAGTACAGGAGACCAGTGAAGAGAAATAGGCAGGTGTCAACAAGCAGGACATCAGTGTCCCGAAGAGTGCCAAAGAGGTGGCCTTGGGGTGGGGCCAGGATGGGAACCAGGAGTGCAGGTGGGAGCAGGCCTTGAGATGCTGCTGGAGCAAGGACAAGGATTGGGCAGATCCAAGGACAAGCTCACCTGAGCGCTCACTTCTGACATGCCTTAGCCCTGGGCCCCTGCCTTCTCCACTGGGAGGTGTCCCATCCAGCTGTTCTTCTCAGCCACCACTGCAGCTTCTGAGCACAGCCAGCACAGGGCAGTGATGTAAGGTCACAACACAAGCTTTGGAATCAGACACATCTGAATGTAAGTTCCTGTTCTGCTCCTTACCACCTCTGTCTGTTTTGGGCAAAGCATTTACCCTCTCTGAGCTTCCATTTCTTCTTTAGTAAAATTGAGATAATAAATGCCAACCAGGCAGGGCTACTGTGATCACTAAATGGAACATATGTAAAGCACCAGACACAGTGCTCAGCTCATCATAAACTGCCCAGTAAATGAGTTCAATCCTCACCATGATCACCATCTTCCTCATTGCCCCTGAGGGTGAATTCTGCTAGCTCTGATGTTGACACTTTTCTCCCCAGGCTCAGAACTACCCAAGCCTCCAGAGGCGTGGTTTGAAGCAGAATTTTTCCACCACATCCTCTGCTGGCTGCCCATCTCAAATCAGTCCAAAAGCACCTACTATGAGGTTCAGCTTGCCTGGTAAGGAAAGAGGAGATGGAGGAAGGGAGGTGGGAAGAGAGGATTCATCCCTACATACCTGCCCTGTTTTTGAGGCAAGACCAGAAGGGACCCTAACTCATGTCCACTCAGTTGACAAGAACTTGTTGGGTCTTCTATATGCTGAGCCTTATGGTGGATGCTCTGGGGTGAGAGGCCAAAGTACTGCCTTTACCCTCAAGTTCTTTTCCATTTTACTAGAAAAGCAGTAAAAGCTCTCCAGAGTATCACTGGAGAATGGGGAAGCCCTCATAACTGCAAAGGTAGCTGAAAGAAGGGAAAGCATAGGCTACGGTGTGGGCTAGCAGGTCTCTCTGGAGAAATGGCACTTGTGCTACTCATATTCCCATCAGAGAGTCTTCTAGATCTCAGAGAGTTGGTATAGGGTCCCAGAACTAAGGGAGACTATGCGGTTAAATGCCTTGGACCCAGGAAATCCCCTGAGGGCTGTTCCTATTTCTCCATTGTGGGAGCTCATTGCCCCAAACTCTTGCTGCCCTCTTAAAGGAAGTGGATTTGGGCCTAAGTTTCTCCCTCAGTGCCTACCCTGATATATCCTCAGGTATGGAAGAAGTCCATGGGAGTCCCTTCCTAACTGTGGCCAGGCCTTGGAACTGTGCTGTGATGTCACCATGTACACCCTGCACCTGTACCGAAGCAATGGTTACCGGGCTAAAGTCCGGACAGTGGATGGTAGCCGATACTCCAACTGGACCTTTGCCAACACCCGCTTGTCTGTGGATGACGGTACTTTTCCTCCCCTTGATCTACAGCATGGCTTTTGGGTTGCCTTCCAGCCAGAAACTAGCATGATGCTTTTCTCTCCTTTGCCAGAGCCAGTCACAACAGCCAGGCTTCCTGATCCGGGAACTAGTAGCCTAAACAGGCCTGAGTCAGGACTTTGGAGAAGGTTAGATGAAATTAGCCAGAATCATCTGAGATTTAAAGGGGAAGTGCAGTTGTTTATCCTACACAGGAGAGGTTTGGGGCTGGATGGGGGCAGCTGAGTCACGAGGGCCAGCCTGGTGAACTTAGAAGTTTGGGGAGAGGAAGCAAATCCGTAAGTGCTTAGGGCAGCATGCATAAGGCAGAATTTGGATGAGGTCCTCCCCATCTAGGAGTCAATTCCTAGGAGTACCTTTATGACACAGGAAGGTTGTGAATGAAGAAAAGAAGGACTCTTCCTGGAGAGGTTTCAGGAAAGTGTGAGCCCTGAACTCTGGGATTCCTGTATTCCACACATTGGGCTTGAACCACGTGTGCATCATTAACTTGCTCTGGAGGATCCAGAGGAAAGCCAGTGTCTGGGAGGTCACTGGCTCCCAAATGCCTGCTCACATGTCAGTGCTCAGCTGGCTACAAAGACATTTCACAGGGAGTGTGTTTACAAAATATATTTCCAGAGGGCCAGGGATTTAGCTCAGTGGTTCCACTGCCTGCCTCGAAAGTGTGAGGTCCTGAGTTTGATCCCCAGTACAAAAAAACAAAAAACAAACAAACAACAACAAATATATATATATATTTCCAGGGCCCAGCCTGACAAATTCAGATTCCCTGTGTCCTGAGTGGGCCAGGGCACCTATATTTGAACATTCTCCCTGAGAAGTCTCTATATGGGATTGGGTTGAGAAAACTGTGGCCTCGTCTTCAGGAGGGGTAAAGCTTGACCCCAGAACAAGACATAGATGGGATGCTCAGGTCCTCCCTAGCCCTCGGCTTCATGGCTTTTCCCCTCCTCCCCTCAGTGACTCTGAAGGTTGATAGTGTGAAGCTAGAGATGCATGAGGGCTTCATCTTCGGAATGATCCAGCTCCCCAGGCCCCAGGTGGCCCCTCCAGGTGACACATACGAAAGCATCTTTACAAACTTCCGCCAGTATGAGATTGCCATTCGCAAAGTGCCAGGAAGCTTTAAGGTATGGGGTCCCCCAAGGCCACAGGCCGAAGGCTCCACAGGCTTCCCTGTCCCCTGGACTGGAATCACCTTTGTGTGCCATGAGCTACTATGCACACAGAGTGGAGGCAGGTCCTGAGGAGAGAGTTTACATGACTTCACCCCTCAAACATGTGCTTCTGCAGGACAGTGGGAAGACACGGTCTACCAGTGTGGGCCATGCACAGGAAACAAATGACAGCTGTTGTTTCTGACTCCCTAGCAGTGGGTATTATATTCCATGTGTAACTTATGCAAGGACACCCCTGTGAGTGGGAGATCTGGAATGTACAAAATCCATCCTCTTTCTTCTTCACCACAGTTTATCCAGCCTCATCTGCAAAGATCTTCAGCTTCAATAACAGACTCCCTTTGCTCTAATAATACAAAACCAGTTATGGAGATTATAGACAGGTTGGGCTGCATTGATAATCATGGGGTTTGTTATCTTAGAAAAAGAAGACTGACGGCATTGGCCACCTCTCTCTCTAAAGCACCACCACACACACCCCTCCCCATGGGTTAAAGTGCAGTTCAAAGGTCAGCTTCTATGTGCCATGATGTGAGAGGATGTGTCTATTATTTTTATTTCAGTCAAGCCGGATGGTAGACCATGAAAACTTCACCTTCCCAATCCCTGGAGAGGTGGGAAAGTTCTGTGTCAAAGTGAAGCCGTCTATCAGCTCCCGAACCAACAAGGGGATCTGGTCAGAGGAGCAGTGCATCACCCTCACCAAGCAGTGTAAGTTGGCAGTCAGATGGAGAGGGGCCTGGGAAGGCTGGCACAACCCAGAAGAATTTGCTGAGGGCTGAGGGCTGGACATTGTGCAGAGCACTGCCCCATAAAACTTACCATCCTCACATAGCCCTAAAAGGCTCCAGTTGTCCTCATTTTAGAGATGTGCAAACTGAGGGTCCATGTCTGCAACTTTGTAGAATCACACAGAGGGCATGGCAGTAGAATCTGGTCCCCTGATTCTGGGGTTCTTCCACTTCCCAGAGACCTCCCCAGGCACCCCACAGTCAGCTGTGCTGCTTCCTGTTTGTTACAGTTCTATGCAGTTCCTCCTCAGAGCCCAGTATGAAGTGCTTTTCCCTGCCCTTCCTCCCCCTAGAGGAAGCAGAACTGAGCTGGCTCCTCGAAAGAGCTGTTGAAGTTAGAAACTCAGTTGAAGGCTCTCAGCGAGGTGTCAAGTGGTAGGCTGGGGAGAGGGTTCAGGGCGTAGAGCCATGTCCTGCCCCTGAGGACCTTATAGTCTGGTTGGCAGAGGGTAATGCCCAGAGAAAGGCATAACTAGCAACTCAAGGTAGCAAAGTTGCCCAGATCATGCCAACAGTAAGTGCTCTGGGGGTACCCCAGCCAGTGTGAGCAAGGTCCAGCCAAAACAACAGTGACCCCTGTATTACAGATATTCAGTACATTTCAGTTTCTGAAGACCACTCAGCAGCTCATTATCATTTAAGTCCCACCACAGAGTTAGACACTAAGTATGTGTCAGCCTTAGGAGTTTTTTTTTTTAACATTCACTCATTCATTGATAAAAGAACTACTTTTGTTCTGATCTCAGCTTTACCACTTAGGAGATGTGTGATCTTGGCCAAGTGACTTAAACTTCTGTAAGCCTAGGATCCTAGTCTGTAAAATGAGGATGATAACTACCTCCTGAGCCTATCATAGGATCAGATGACGTTAAGGAAAGTACTTGGCACATGATAAGGGCTATGTATTTCACAACCATCTTATGAGATAGGAACTATCATTTTTTCTGTTTTATAGATGAACAAACTGAGGCTTATAAAGATTAAGTAATGGTGCACAGTCCCACAGTTAGGAAGTGGTGAAGCTGGGATTTGAACCCAGGTCAGGCTACCCCCAAAACCTCTATTCTTACCTATGGGGTGCTGTGCAACCCCCCAACCACATGACTGAGGGTATGGTGAGGAAAAGAATAAGACAAAACAAAAAGAATAAGACAAGACTGCATAAAGGAAGGTCTGGGATGGTCAAAGCTCTTGCAAGGCTGAGACCACAAGGCTCCAAACTTGCCACTATTTATTGATTACATAGCATTGCACAGGGGATAAAGGCAGGTGTAAGGAGCAACGAGACTAAGGCACTGACATGAGCTAGGCCTGTGAAAAGAGGGACAATGCATTGCTGCAAGAAACAGGTCATGGTTAACAAGTAAACTATTTATTCTCTTTAGCTAACATTCGTTCTGGGTGAATGGCTGCATAAGAGTCACAGAATCCTCAGCTGCAGTGTTATCTTGCTATAAGAGTTGCCACAGTGTCACTGACCATTGAGACCTCAACTGTGGCCATTGGCATGGAGAGAGTCCTGTTTCTGCATGCCAGACGAAGGCTCATCTAACAAGTCACGTAGGCCTGGAACAGACTCACAATTTAATCAATAGCCAATTCACTAATATTTTATTGCCTGCCCTGTGTGGTTTCAAGCTGGTCTCAGGCACTTACCAGCTGTATAACTCTGCCTGATTGTTCTGTGTATCCTCACATGAGAGCTGAAAGCTGACTTAGTGTGTCTAATGAGAGAACCCTTCAGGGCAGAGGTTGAAAGGCCAGAGGGATTCACAGGAAACTAGACACATCTAGAACTGAGACCTAGAAGTTCCTTATAGAGATGGTCTGGGACCATTCACTGAGTGGTTTCTGAGAGTGGAAGGGGTCTCTGGGGACTGTTAGTGTGTTTCATGGTGCCAGCCTACAAATGCATCTCTCTGGGCCTGCAGATTTCACCGTGACCAACCTTAGTATCTTCTTCACCCTCATCTTGCTGCTCTGTGGACCCCTGGCTTACTGTCTGGTCCTCCACTTGTATGTGCGGCGCCGAGGGACACTGCCTGCTGTCCTGGTGAGTCTCCTGGCCTCTCCTCATCCCTCCAGGTACTTTGAAGTGCCAAAGAAGGTAGGGAAATTCTTTCCCTCCCAGACAATCCATTCCCTCTGCTTACCTCCACCTCAACTCTGACATTACCAGGAGGTACCTACATGGCATGGCACACCATGGGGACAGAGGGAGGAATAAACACAAACCCCCATCCCAAGAACTAGTACTTCCCAATAGCCTAGATACCACACACACACACACACACACACACACACACACACACGTGCTGAGTAATCACACACCCAATGACCATGAAGCACCGGGACCAGCTACTTTGCATTAGTACCAGTTATCGTCCTGATTTTACAATTTTGTTCTATGCACAGGGTCTATAGTCAGGAAGTGTCAGGGAGGCAGCCTATCTTCCCACCCCTCATGGCCATGAAGGAGGACTCCAAGAGAGGAAGAAAGAAGGACTGAGGCTGCCAGAGAGGGAGGGAGAAGGGTGGAGAGGAGGGGCTTCATGGAGGAGGCTAGGGCCCCACCCCTTCCAGGCAGGATGTATCCATGGCATCCCAGACTTCCACACTCAGTGAGCAAGGCCTGAGCAGCAGGCCTGTAAACCTCAGCTCATCTTTGTCCTGGATTCAGTCTTTATCAAAGGTCACCTGTCACAGTCCCCAGAGCTGGCCTTGCTGCATGATAGCCAAGGGCTCAGCTGCAAAAAACCCAGCTCATTCCAGGAAGCAGGGGCCCCAGGGAAGCTCATGGTGGGAAGGGAAATCTCCAGAGAGATCAAGGGTCTGTAGAACAAACAAGGAGAGAGACAAAGCCTCTCTGAAATTATTTTGAGTGAGAACTCCAGAAAGGAGAGGTAAAGAAGACACAGTGGGACTGTTTGGCCTTTCCAGGCAAGAAAGAACTGTTTCCCCAGCTCCATACCCTGAACAGACAAGTGTGATGAGGAGACTGAGGAACACGTGGCCCTTACAGCCCTCAGTGGTTTTACAGTTCTTTCTGTTCTGGCTGAAGCATGTAGTCATTGCCCTTTCTCTGTGCTCCAGGCAGATCAGTTCCACAAACACATATCCACTGGACTGCTTCACAGCACCTTGAGCGTATGCCACATGCAGGGCCTGGAGCTGGGATGATGGTGGCTTAAAGATAAATGTGAACCAGGACTGAACTTAGGGATACAGACTAAGAAGATAGCTGAAGGGCAGAGGGAAGGAGGAAGGAGTTCCTACTGTGATGGGAGAGTGGAGATTGCTAGCTGGGAGTCAGGAGATTCATCTTGGATGAGTCAAGTGGTGATTGAGCTAGTTACTGAACATGTGCAAAATGTCATTGGGAAGAAGCTGATTAATGTGGCTGCTGGTCTGCAGGGGATTGACTACAGCCAGTATGTAAATGATTAGCTTTAATGCAAAGCCCTGAAAGAGACACAGATGCAAAAATGTGACAGAGATGACAAGACAAATGACTGCTGGCTTGATCCTTTTGTGCCTTTGAATCACAGAATCAAACATCCTCCAGGATGTTCTCTCCTCCAGATAAATACAGTCCAGTGGCCCTTATCTAATGACCTCAGTCTTGACTAAATCTATGAATAACTTATGCTGCCCAGGGCACTTACAGTTCACTAGTTTGTCCTCATTCAGCAGCTACATTGATCTGATCTTTTTAACAGCCCTTCAAGGTAAGCAGGGGGTCTCAAAGCAGGACTATTAAGTACAGATTCCAGGTTTGCTCTTTGCTGCTGTGTGGCCGGACAAAACACTGAACTTCTCTGAACTTCAGTTTTCCTCTAAAAAACAGAGGTCATAATACTTCCCTTACAGAATTATCAGAGGGTACAGTTCAATTCAGCATATTGAGTGCTTTCAGTGTATCACAGAAGATTCTAAGCATGGTACATGCTTAACCACAGCATGAGGAGGCATGTGCTTTCATTAATTCCACTTTGCAGATGAGGAACTAAAGATCATAGAAGATAAATAATTTGGCCCAAGTGACAAAGTTAATAAGAGGCAGAGCTGGGATTTAATCACCAAGCAAGGTGACAGTAACAGGGACTCAACCAATAAGAGCCACATATGAGTCATCAAATACAGTAAGTCCCTGACTTATGAACATTCAAGTTGTGAACTTTCACAGGTATACTGTATAAGACTCACTATCAGCTTACAAATGAATCATTCTTAAAACTAATTCTTCCGGAACAGAACTCATTTATAAGTCAGGGACTTACTATACCCAAAAAATGAGGCCAGATATGCAGCAGTCAGTCATAAAACCTGTGAGTGACTATTGGTGCCAGCTCAATGTAGGCTCGGGCAGAGTGGCAAACAAGGCTAGACAGTTACAGCTCTCAAGGGGCTTATATTCTGTGAGGGATGAATGTGGATATGTATGCTGAGAGAGGGCAGAAAACAAAGAAAATAATTACAGGAAGTAAGTACCAGGAAGAAGTAAACAAGGTTAAGATGGAGAGAATAGCTCAGCATTACCCTGGCAAGAGCAATTAAGAAGGCTTTACTGAGGAGGTGAATTGAGCTGAGACCTGAGTGACAGGAGAACCAAGCCATATGAAGTGCTGCGAAGTACTACTCTCAACAGAAAGCTCAACATGTGCAGGGGCTCTGAGATAGCATCGCACTTGATGTGTTCAGGAACAGAGAGAACAGCATTGTGATTAGGGCAAGGGAGTGAAGAGGAGAGGGGCTAAGTGACTTCCCTGAAGCCTTCAGCAATTAATGGGGACCAGGTCCTTGCCTGCGCATTCTTCCATCTCATGCTACAGTCACCCTGTTTTATGTGGGTCACACCTCATCGAGTAGAGAAATTAATTTGGTGTCTTGCAGCCAGAATTTAAAAAATCAAAATGGATAGGATAGAATAGAATAGCATGGACAGAATATATCATTTTTTATTATCAAAAAAGTTTGAAACACACTTCTGAAAGGGTTGGTCCAGTAGGCTCTCAGGTTTGAAAAGCCCAGGGGATGGAATCATCTGAGAGCTTTCAGGCTCCCATTCCATCTGGGATTTTGAGAACACCAGATTCCTAGGCATTTGGCCTGGGCCAAACTGAGGAGAAAAGCACACCCAGAAGAGCACTCTGCCGTGCAGCCCAGGCTCTGCAGCCCCCACTGCCTCTCTTACTCTGTCCTCTTCTACTCAGGTCTTTGAGAAACCCAGCCCTTCCATCCTCATCAGCAAGCCGCCCTACCCAGAGATGCAGGACGCCATTCAACCCCTCCACGAGGAGACCTTCCTGAAGGTTTCTCCAGAGCTGAGGCACTCAGACCTGCATGGCAGCATGAACATTGGCTTCAGCAGTGCCAAGCCATCCCTGCAGATGGAAGAGCCCCAATTCCTCCTCCCTGCCCCTCACACCCAGGCCTGTGGGGCTCTAGGAAAGGGGGAGCCCCCAGATCTGCAGGTCAGCTGCAGTGATGGTGGCAGCAGTGGCAGCGGCAGCAGTGGCAGCTGCAGCAGTAGCACAGACAGCGGGATCTGCTTGCAGGAGCCTGGCCTGAACCCTGGCTCTGGACCCCTTTGGGAGCAGAAGGTGGGGAGCACAAGCCAGGGCCAGGATGACAGTGGCATTAGCCTTGTCCAAAACTCTGAGGGGCAACCTGGGAGAACACAGAACAGCTCACCCTTGGGCCACATAAGTCTCCTAGGGCCAGAGGCCCCTGCAGAAGAAGACCCAGCTACAGCGGCCTTCCAGGGCTACCTGAAACAGACCAGATGCACTGAAGAGAAAACAACCATAGCAGCCTGCCTGGAGGAAGAGACTCCTTTGACAGATGGCCTTTGGCCCCAGTTCAGGACATGCCTGGATCCTGAGGCAGGCTGGCCTCCCCCAGGTCTGGCCAAGGGCTACTTAAAACAAGATCCCCCAGAAATAACCCTGGCTCCTTCAGGTGTCCCACCAGGACAATGTAATCAGATGACTGAGGAGTGGCCACTGCTGGGCTTGACTATTTGTGGTGACCTGGGACCATCTGATTGGAGTTTTACCCATGATCTTGCCCCTCAGGATGGTGTGGCAGCCCCAGGAGGCCTCTTGGGCAGCTTTGACTCAGACCTGGTCACCCAGCCTCAGATCTCCAGCCTGTACTCAAGTGAGTGACTTGAGCCAAGGGGCTGTTTTTTATTTCAGCCATTCCTTCTCTGCTGCTATGAGCAGGAGAAGGTCCCCAGGAGTCAGAAGAGGATGCAGGCCAGTCTGGGCATTTTCTGCAAACCCCTGGGGTCAGTTGTAGCTGTCTACCAGGGCAAGTTCTGGCCATCTTGATGGAGTGGTGCAGCACGCACAGATGGTGCTGACCTGTTCTGCTGAGTGGGCCCTGCAGACCTTGGCAAAGCCAAGAAGAGCAAAGCAGAAAACTCCTCCCTCTTTGGGCCTTTTTTCTACACCATATAGGAGTCTGTGCTCAAAGAACCACAGGGTTTTCTTGAGACAAGTTGAGGCTGGCAGACTGAGGTCAGCTCAGACCCAGATGCCTCCTTCTGGCCAGCCAGGTGTCAGGGCCTCTAGCAGGTTGGAGTGCTGTGAGACAGAGCTTCGGGGCCCCTGTGGCTGCCAGGATCATTTCTACAAGAAGAGGGAGCAGAGCTGAGTTTCATCTGAGGGGTGGTGGGTAACAGGGAGATGCTCTGCTACTGCCCGTCTTCTCGGGCAGGAAACCTGTCACTGGACGAGTTTAAGGTGTGTCTGCACCGGCCTGGCAGTCAGACAGTTACTACATCACTAGTAGAGACTAGTAGGAGGGACAAAGGGACCAAGACCTAGGACACAGACCCTGCAGACTCTGGGCTAAAAGGAAATGGGCTCCGGAACCCATCTGCCCAGAGCCAGCTTCCTTCTCGTGCCGAGGGCTGACATCTAGGAGGAGTCCTTGGCATTGTGCCTGGAGAACTGCCAGTCACTGGGCCCAGAGGGGCAGATATGGGCCCTGCTTTCCCACTGTTCCTTTAGAATCTGTCTTCAAAGTCAGTTTACAGTCCCCAGGCAAGGATACTAGGAGGGGTGATTGGCCTGTGGATGCCCTCCAGAGCATCTCTTGGCTCTGCATTTCTCTGTGGCATTCTAAAATGGGCCTTCTGGCCCAGAAAATCCTGCCATGACCTCTACCAACCAGGAAGCTCTTGGTGCCAATCTGATAAGTCCCTCTGGAAACAGGCCTAGGGGAGGATCGCTTAGGGTTTCCTTGACAGCTTTATTTATTTGTTTTGCTCATTTATTTATTGAAGAGGAAAGGAATTCTGGGTCTCTCAGGAGCCCTGGAGTTTTAGTTTTGCATTCACCGTTTCTAATTGTGTGACGTTGGGCAAGTCACTTCTCTTGAGCCTCAGCTTCCTTATCTGCAAAACTGGAAAAGATGCTTGTTTTGTGGAATTCATAGTGACACAAAGAAAATGGATATGAATGTGCCTTGAGCACAGATCTCTGTAAATGAGTGGTGTGTTTTTTTTAATTCCATTAAATCTTCAGGACCAGTGGGGCTCCTGGGAACCACACAGATTTCTGAGGCTACAGTGGCTGGTGGAGGACGTGGTTGCTGATAATTGGGGATGATAAGGAAGAGGGTGTGTGATGTTGCTTTAAGGAAACAAGAGTGGGGATTCAGGCTCAGACCAAACAGATCCAGCTTCAAAATCCTGTGCTAACACATATTGCCTATGACTGGAAAAATTACTCAACCTCTGAGTTTCTGATTCCCCATCTATAATGTAGAGATGGTAAATCCTCCTGGGGATGTTGTGAGGTTCAGTGAGATGGCATATACAAGTGTTTAACACAGTGCCAGGCATGTGGTGCTCTGTGTTTAAATAGCTGGTAACACTGTAAAGGAAATACAGAGTTTTTCTTGAAATGGATGGAAATGAAAGAGATAAGGAGTTTGCAGAAAACCCAAGGGAACAGTGGAAAGTGCACTGCAGTGTTTTGGATGTGCTCTCTGACAATGGAAAGGAGACTATGTGAGGCCTGCCCTTCCAGGAAGGGGGCAAACCAGACCTCCCTAGAGCCACAGCTGCTCACCTCCCCCTGGAGTTGTGTCCTGGGTGGTTCTCATAAGTGCGGAAGCCAGCTGTACTTTGTTCAGCCTGCTGCTTCCACGAAAAGCCACACGTGGGTTTGAATCTCTCCCTGAGCTCAGCCCAGCAGGTAGAGCTAACCTAGGGCCTCTGGTGTGCTTCACTTTGTCTCAACCTGGATCCCTTAGCAGGTGACCTGGGACACCTCATGTCTTTCCTCCTGTATCATTTCCAACATGCCACTGCCCTTTCACTCTGAGAAAGTGAGCAATTCTGGAGAGGTGCCCATGCTAACCCTCCAGAGAACTTGGCTAATACCGCACCATCTTGGACCTGCTTATTCTTAACTAGAGGCCTCCTTGTTAGGATTGAAAAGAGATGTGGGTTACTTTCTTCTGGAAACAAGGTGTTGCAGATGCCCTCTTCCCTGTGGAAATAGTCCCCTGGGGCAGGTGGGATGAAACCTGACCAAGGAGTGGATATAAAGGTGCAGATAATAAGTTCCAGCTCCTCTGAGAAGGAACTGGAACCAATTTGGTTGCAAGAGACAGCGTGTGGAGCAGCCTGCAGGAGAGAGGGGAGGTGGGTGTTGCCAGCCTCTTCCCTTTGCTGGAATGAGTGGGAGCCTCCTGACTCCTCTCCTGGCCTTGAAGCTGCTGTCTGAGTGCAGGTCAAGGCCTGGGCTGTGGGAGACACTGACAGTGTTCTTCCGGGCAGCAGGGGTTCTCTGGAATTTATATTACAGTCCCCAACAGAAGGCCCCAGTTGTTCATCAGCTGAGGAGCCAGCCTCTTCAAGGGCTTTTCCAGACTGAGGGAGTGTGTGATTCTGTGTTTGTATGAGCTAATGGAACTTCCTCTTAGTAAGGAGAAAGGGGAAATGGGCCAACATTGATGGAAGAGGAAATTCTATTCAACTGTGTTTTCCTGAATTTGTAAATAGCAGTTGTCAAGGGACTGCCTTGTCCCCCCAAAATACCTCTATACCCTGCCCCCCATGCACACACAATCACAGAGATCCACAGTCAGGTCTGTGCTCACCATGCTGTGCTCATCACTGGGTGAACTTTCTCTGAGCCCCATTTGTGGCCGGCAGGGAAATGGGAGCTATAGGCTGTGCCCACCTGGGACAGAGGGCTGGGAACCAGGAGAGGGAGGTCCAGGCAGTTAGGACTGATTTTATCAAGCCTCAGCCTAAAGGACCTGTGATACTAAGAAGCTTGACTCATTTCCTGTAGTGCTCATAGAGTTAAGGATTTTTTTTTTAAGCAAACCCACAACTTTAAATTCAATGCATTATTATTAATGACCCACAGCACCTTTCTTCACTATCAAATACATCTTAACTTCATTTAATTTCCCATAAACATCCAAAAGGGGTAATGGAACCAAGTCAATACTCTACTGAGGGAAAGTTGTGTAGGATGAAATTAGTGTTTTTAAAAAGACAACCCCCTCACACACACACACAAAAGATGACCCTGGCCAAAGCATAAAGTATGAATCAGAGAACACAAGGCAAGAGGCTGGTAGACCTGGTTGGAAGCTTTTGTTATAGTCAGCATTTCATTTCTTCAATGAACAGCTACCGTGTGACAGGCATGATTTTCAGCCCTGTGTACAAAAGGCGCGTCACTTCATGGAGCATGCCATCTGGTTGTAAAGGTAAATATCAAGCAAATGGACACACTGAAAACTATGTCATCACCATCAGTGATCAATGTCATAAAAGAAACTAATATTCCATATGAGAGATATGGCAGGAAGCAGAGAAGCAGGGTAGGAGGCTGTCTTGGTTCTGGCTATAACAAATACCATAGGCCAGGCACTTTATCAATGGACCTTTACTTTTCATGCTTCTGGAAGCTGAGAACCCCAGGGCCAAGATGCCCCCTGATTGAGTTCCTGGTGAGGACAACCTCCTGGCTTGTAGTTGCCTTCTCACTTTGTCTTCACATGGTGGAGAGGGAGAACTCTAGTCTCCCTCTTCCTATTATAAAGGACACATGTCCTCCTTGATCTGTGAATTAAAGCTAGGGGACTTCCAGGCCGATGCATATTTTGCCTTGTGGGCTGGTTGGTATGTGGACACCCCACTTCCTACTGGTCATGGTGGGAAGACCCATAAAGCCATGATGCTCACAGAGCAAGATAACATCTGCTGAGGACCTGACTCTTTAGAGCAGTGCAGTAGAGGTTAAAGTCCCACTTTAGGGGAAAACTCAGGTTCTCTATTAACTTATACTCTATCCTTACAAGAATGCTTTGTTCTTTTACTAGCCCATGGCACCCACCATTGCTCTTCCTTGGGTCACTCACCACCCCCTCTGATTGCTTATGTGTGCTCAATAAATAGTGGCAGGCTTGGAGAGTCTTTGTCTTTCACCTGATCTGAGGCACTGACCTCCCAGTCCCCCATTTATCTATAAAATTGTCTTTATCTATTATCCTCCAATGTATCCCTCAAGCAGATAGCTGTGGGGCTTGGCTGGTCCCTGATAGACACCAATTCCATTGTGGGGCCACGACTTTATCTAAACCAAATAACCTCCCAAAGGCCCCATCTCCAAATCCCATCACACTGAGGGTTGGGATTGCAGCAGATCAATTTAGGAAAACATCAACATTCAGTCTGTCTCAGAAGCTTAGTAGTCTGATCAAAAGACAATATTGAATGGGGGCAATGGCAAGGAATGGCAAGGAAGGAACAGATTCAAGAGACACTTTAGAGAAAGAGTAGGCAAGATAGGGTGATGGGCTGGAGTGAAAGGAATCAGAGATGCTAATCATACTGGACCTTGATGATGAGAAACAAGAAATGTGGACCCAGAAGGAAGACCTGGGTGTACAGTGTGAGAGGAGATGGTGAACTTGACTTGATGGTGTCATCCAAAAAAAGGTCTGCAGCAGTTGGCAAGGCAGGCCTGACACCAGGTGAGGGATCAGCACTGGGGATTCTATATGAGACCTCTATCGCTCTGTGACCCAAGTTGTGGATGAGCCCAGAGCACTCAGTATGGACATAAGGAGATAGACCTGGAGAAGATGCCTGAGCCCCCTGCAGCCAGTATGCTGCAGGGTGTTCAGCTGATGACTTCCTGCCTAGAGGAAGAGCAGGCTGTTGTCCTTTCAGCTGGTAGAGTGGCTGGAGTCATGCCTGTGCTGGGCACCTGTTGCGAAGACCCCAGCTCAGATCCTCTATGGGGCTCCTGGGATAATTGCAGCCCACCACTGATAATACAGTAGCTAAGGGCCCCTATTAGTAAATTATCCCCTCTGCCAGGCACAGAGACTGTGTGATAGGCATGGTCAGGTATGGGGAATGGGAATAGGACCCTAAAAGCATAGGTAGAGGGTGTCACACCTGGATTTCTCTACCTGCCCAGGCAAGAGGGCTTGGTTAAGGTGAGGTTAAGGCTCACCATGGCCCTAGAGAGAATAGAACATTCTTCAGGATCCTGCTACCTGGTCATCCCAGCCCTGGCAATGTCCCTTGCCCTTTACTTCCCCACCTCCCCTCATCCTATCCCCCAGGGCAGAGTTTCTCACAGTGTCACTTGCATCAGAAGAACCTGGGCTGTTTGTCTTCCTAGGCTTCTCCCTGAAGCCCAGAGTTTCTGAATGCTGGTTCCCAAGAAATAAGGAAATAAGTTACAGGTGATCAACTCATAGGTAATTCCAATACACACTGAAGTCTGAAAATGTTTCACTCCTTTAGGAAATCACTTGATTTGTTACTTGACACATAAATATTGTCCTTTCTCTCCCTGCTGCCCCTTAAACAGTATCACCTAGTGCATACCTTTAAGTGCCACCTGGATGCTGATGACTTCCAAGTGTCCGAGCAGGATTTGTCCCCCTAAACTACTCAACTATCTCAGGAGCTCCCTTTGGATGTCTTGCAGAAATCTCAGAATTACATTGTCCCTAACAGCACCCTGGATGAACCTGCATACACTCTTGTTCCTGCCCCAGTCTTTGCCCCCTTAGTAAAGAGCACCACTACCCGTCCCCTAATGCAGGCCGAAACCCTGAAGGGAGCCATCCCTTCCTGCCCCACATCTAATCCATCAGGCAGGAACCAGCGCTACCTTTCAGACAGAGTGGCTCCAATCATCTGTTGCCACAGCCGATGCTGCCATCCTGGTCAGTTCCATCGCTACCTCTCCTCTGACCAGTTGGCTTCTGTACCTCCTCTTTGCCTCCTCAGTCTTCTATGTGCCATCATCAGCCTGATCTGGTGCTAGGGGCTGCCTGGGTCTCTCCTCACCCTGACTTGGAAGAGCCAAGTCAGAAAGCAATGCTGTGCAGTAGGCATGGAGATGAGACTCGGTTAGCACAAAGGAAGCTGGTGCTCTCTCTGAACTGGGTATTCCAGGGAAGGAATGGGAAGAGGGCTGTGAGAGCAGGTGAGGT